ACATATCGTTTGTTTTCTCTATCCCTTTTATTTAACGCTTCTACTTTGTGTAAACTTACATTGCTTCATTTACGTGCCTACTTGTATTTAGATTACTCATTATCGTTTGCACGTTCATTATCATTAAAATTTTGAATAGTTAATGAAAACGTTTTAAAACAAATTCACCCCCTCTTGGTTAGCCAATCTTAGGCTTTCACAAATGAATACCTGCAAAAAGAGGCTTGAGCTTTCCTACCCGTTGTACCTCCGACGCGAGAATTAGTGATTGGGTTGTAGAGGAATGACTTATAAAAAATGATAGAATGCTAGAAAATATGCCAAAAAAAAAAAAAAAGAATCCCATATTTGGATGTTTGTAAAGTATTTATGGACACCGGGTGCCATGTAACCGCTTGCCCATTGCAAACCGCCCACTTACTAGGCGATTTCAGTCTACATGCTGAGCAGTTAACATTCATCCACGAATTGGGTAATGTGGTCAGTTATAACCATTAAACGATTTTCGATCAAATCGAAAGATGTCCAGGTGGATGGTATAGAAGCAGTCTGTTTAGCATAGCGACAGTTCGATGAGCGTAGCCAGTTGAGCTAGTATAACAATAGTTAGTCTTGTATAGCGACAATCAAGCAACATAGATAGTCACAGTCAAGCTAGCACAACTAGTCGAGCTAGTCTAGCAGTAGTCGGCTTAGTGATGAGCGTGTTTTTTACACACGAATGTTATACCAAATTAACTTAATTATTTGCCTAATTTTTATGGTTAGAGAACGTTTTTAATGTATGTACTATTGTTGTTTTGAAGGTATGGTGATTAGGCAAAAAAATGGAGGTATTACAAGGAGAAATGGATAGAAAATTGGCGCCCAAGCGCCACAAGCAGGAGCCCAAGCGTCGGAAAAGAGGGAAAGCAAAAATAGGCAGGAAGGGCGCTGCCTGGGCCAAATTTGCTAGAAGGGCGCTGCTTGGGTCACTATTCACGGCGCCTAGGCGCTGCACCTATTAAATTGGGCCGCAAGAAACCCATTAAAAGACTCCAAATTAGCCAAGGATGTGAGGAGAGTATAAATGGACAAGGAGAGGCATGAATTAGAGGGAGAAAAACTTTACAAAATAGAGAGAAAAACACAAGATTGAAGAGGATATTCACGTGAAGAAATTCATCATGAATTCGAGTTCAAATCAAATATTGGAAGCGGAAGAAGATCTTGGTACAAGAACTGATTCTATTCCATATTTTTAGTTATTAAAATCCAGTGATGTATTCGAATATATTTAATTATTTTATCTTTTTCATTATATTTAACTAAATTCTACATTAGGGCAAACAATGTAATCTTATGTGACCCTTACTTCTTTAATTCAAGACTTCTGTAGTTTATTTTTTCATGTGTTGATATTATTATAATTTTAATGCTTTGAATTATCTGGCTAATAATTTGATGATCAATTGAGTTTCTTACGAATCGAGAGGTGAGTTTGAGACTTAAAACATGTAATAAAATTCGATAACGAAGTATAACGTGTAGAGATACTTATAATAAGTATTGCGGTCGTTATAGGAATTCCTAGAAGTAAAATTCGTTTGACTAAGGGTAATTCGCATAAAAATATGAAATTAAATTAGTTAAATATGCTTAATGAGAATTCCAGATGGGTAAATTGAATACCATATGAGAATTCGACCGAACACTACATTATGTTAGAATCTTGAATTAAGAATTAAGGTGATCATTAGATGAATTTGTTTTACCCTAATATTTCTTACATACACACGATTCTTTGATAAATCATTATTCGACATTTTATCATAACTTCCATTAGCTTCACGTATTTACTTCATTATAGAAAATCATTAGTCACAACTATATCTATTTTTTCTTTGTTCGCTTTTATTGAATATGAGTTAGAAAAAATAGATTAAGATTGGAGTATAGTTCTCGTGGGAACGATAATCCGGATTCAAAGGTCAACTATATTACTTGTTCCGATATCGTACACTTACGATTAAAAAAACGCAACACTTATCTTGGCAACAATCAAGTTAGCATAGATAGCCACGGTCAAGCTATTATCTTCAATTGATTGGTCCTCATAATCCACAATTTATATTATGCTCGTTTGATAAAGATTAAAATTCAATTAAAATTGAAAATATAGTCGTTATTGGGTCCTACTAGTCTAATAAAAGTCAACAATAACAGGTAATTTTTCAATTTTAATCCGATTTTAATATTTACCGAACATGCGCCTGATTCGATAAGTCTCGATATTTATTTGATCTAGACTAATAATTGCCGTTTCTAGATAGATGTAGTCTCTTTTCTCCCCATGTGATTGGTTCTGTACGACAATGGAAACAATCATTTCAATCACAATACCGATCCCTGAAAAGTGCAATCTTCTTAATTATGTCTTTTTCTTTATATTTCTATTTTCTTTCTGTTTGTCTTTCAACTATGATAATCTCATTCAACTAATTACTGATTAACAATTGTCGTCAGAACCTAACTTCAATTGCAACAATTGCTTAAGTTAATGTCATTATTTTTAGTTCATTATCGATGATGATATTCTTTTAAAAAAACATTTTTCTTTGAAAATTCTGTACCAAACAAGCTTTAAATATCACGTCTCAAATGTATTATTGAACAAAAAAAAAAAAAAAACAAAAATCACACGGGAATGGTAAAATTGATGACCATTTTCCAAACGTCTAACTCGTTCTTCCTCTCCCTTTAACTATGAATTTGACTGTTATTTTTTTTAATAAAAAAATTGTCTAAAATTGCATAGTCCACCAATATGAAATACGCTAAGCCCTTGTTTGAGCATTATTTTTAATATTATTTTTTTCCAACTATCGATGTCTTGTTATCAGCGTCTTCCAGGGTTTCATAGTATTTACATCGTCTTTATCGTACACCTGTAGAATTCACTCATCGAGAAAGGTCTCCCAAGTTGTGTTCCAACCAGATGACTCAATCTGTCTCTTGAATTGTTCTTGAATCCTCATAAGCCGCTTCTGATGGTCTTCATCTTCGTATTTTTAATATTAATTTTTTAAACTCATTTTAAATTATACATTCTATCAATAAATTTATATGGACTCATAAATTTTCTCTATTTTTAACTACGTATTCTAAAAAAAAATCACTTTTCATAAATTTTATTTAAAAAAAATCCATATTAAATACTCTTAATTTGTATATTTTTCTAATTAATAACTAATATAAAGCATTTCTCAAGGTTGAAATTTGGCTAACATGGAAAGTGAAAATAGATGATTTGTCCCACATATTTGTCGTATTGGCATCTAGGGAAAAAATAAAAAGAAGCTCAAAAGGAAAAAAAAAGAAAAAATCATCCCAAAAGGGACAAAACACTTGCATAAGCTAGCATGAATTATATGTCAACACATGCCACGTGTACAGATCTCAGACCACAAATCATTTCCATCCAATAGAGTCGGGGCTCATCTGTTAATTATTCGGGTCGGGTCGGTCCACCTTACGACAATTCATCTTTTCAGTGCCCTGGGTCCCACTTTTTCTCACTTTACGTGATTATTATTTCTGTAAAACAATGGGATCGATCATTTATGATTCATATTGCATATCTTTCTCCTAATTATGAGAAAATTGCATCATAGTCGTCCTTGACCTATTGTCGTATTAGCAAATTGATCCCTAATCTTTAAAGGGGACCTTAAATTTTCATTATAGCTACACAACTAGTCTTCGATTATAGACATAGTCTATTTTTTTTTAATTAATGTCGTGTGACTTTCTTCGATAAATAACCCTCAAATTTCAATTATTAGCTCGAGTTGAAAAGCAAATTAATTTCATAAACTTGGACGGTAAAAATGTTAATGCAACTTAGCTCTAATTTGGTAAAGATTAAAATCAGATTTTTAAGAAATTTTGATAAAAATTGATGAAATATGTTGTTAAAAAGTTGTGGATTATATGACATGTGTTGTTAAAATTAATTATTGAATTTGATTTAAATTTTAATCAGATTTTTAACTGTACCAAATAAGGGATTAAATACTTAATTTTTATAGATAAAAGAATAATTTTTATAAATTTTGATAAAAGTTGATGGTACATAGTTTAAAAATTTTGAATTTCATGAATGTATTATTAAAATTAATTGTTTGATATTGACTTAAATTGTAATCTAGTTTTTTAGATAAATCAAACATGTGCCAGTAGTGAAAAGTCTCGTAAATTAGCCAAAGTTTTCAATTTTGAAAACTAAAAAGTTCAAGACTAATTTTCTTCTTTTTAAAGGTTAGGGACGAATTTGACATTGGGGTAATAGGTTGGAGGTCAATACTGTAATATTCTTGATAATTATTGTTGTTTTAACATTAACATTAACAATTATAATAATAATAACGTAATAAGTAATAAATTTTGACTCTCTCTCCATAACAATCAAAATCATACCCCCCTTTTTCCTTCCCCTGCATTTTTTTCACAAGCCCTAAAACTCACAAATTCTTTACCTCTGAATTTCATTTTCTTCTTTACTGTCACTTCTTCTGCTATATCTCTTTCTCTTTCTACAACTTTCCTTTCTTTTCCCTCCACTCTCTGTTGGATTGATTTCATTTTATTTACTGTTCAATAATTGTGGGCAGAACGCAAAACCCTCTGCTTGAATTGCAATAAAATTTTAAATTCAATTGCAATTCGATTAATTGTTGGCAATTTTTTGATGGCTTTATCAAGGTGATATTCAGTTGGTGAAGATCTATGAGTGGAGATTAAATTTGAGAGGGAGGCATTTTGAATTGGTAATTGAAACGTGGGGTTTTGGTTCAGATCAGGAAGAAAAAACAGCGCCATTAGATGGCGCTGTTTAGACGCTTCTTTTATAGGAAGCCACCGGATCGGCTTCTAGAGATCTCCGAGAGGGTCTATGGTAAGCTTTCTACGTCAGCTCTTTTTGATCAATTTCATAGTTTCGTTGCAAATGCATACATAATTCTCGTATTTGCATCCTTGATTAAGTCCATTTTTTTCTCTTAATCATCGAATTGGCTTTAACTGTGTGAATTTCCTTTTTTTTCAAATTTTGTTACTTAGGAGAGGCGCATTAGAACTTCTTTGTTGATAAAACAGCTAAAATAATGATCTTTAATTTAGTTGAGTAGAAGATCCGCTAGGTAGATAACTGCTTTTCTGGCTTTATAACTTGTTTGTGACACATTGACTTTTTATATATTGGAACATGAAATGTTTGATGTTTAAGTAATCTGTTGTTGCTTAGTTCTTTCTAATGTTTAATACTTCGATCAAAAATATCAGCAAGGGTTGTTTATAAGTTGGTTTTATAATTTTGCATGGAGCATTCATGATTTTTCTAGATAAAGTTGCATTGTATTGGATATTTATACCTGATATGTTGATTTTCTACTCCATTCTCTTCCTTTCGCTCCCATTTGAAATACGACTAGTTTTTTTTGCACATTTTAAGTTTCTTGGGAGAGAATCTGGGTTTTCATGTGGTTTACCTTGTGTGAGTAGTGAGTTATGCTGTGGAACCTGTTTTGCTGTTAGATGGTTTTGTTCTATAAGTTGGTCCTTTTTGACCCTTGATAATTTTACAGGGATATAATACATAATTTCATATGGAAGTCATATCTGCAAAATAAAGCTAGTTTTTGTATAAATTATTTTGGCCATTCCCCATTCTTTCTTGAATTTCATCTAAGCTCAAGCTGAATAACTATGATTTATAAAAATTGAATTTGCATTTGTTGGATGAGATGTGGACGGTCATCATCTGGTGTAAAGCATGGGTAGTGATTGGACTTACCCAAATTGAATAACATTTTCTTTTTGTAAGGCTTAAATAAAACATTAAATATGCCACATAGTTATTTCAATCACTGGATCTGCTTGCAGTGTTTGATTGCTGCTTCTCCACTGACGTGTTGGATGAAGACGAGTATAGAATATATATGAATGGCATTGTAGCTCAGCTACAGGATCACTATCCGGATGCTGCTTTTATGGTTTTTAACTTTAAAGAGGGGGAAAGGAGAAGTCAAATATCCGATGTGTTGTCTCAGTACGATATGACAGTCATGGATTACCCGCGGCAATATGAGGGGTGTCCTTTGTTACCGCTGGAGATGATCCACCACTTCTTGCGTTCCAGTGAGAGCTGGTTATCACTCGAGGGTCAACAGAACGTGCTCTTGATGCACTGCGAAAGGGGAGGATGGCCGGTCCTTGCCTTCATGCTTGCAGGCCTTCTTTTGTACAGAAAACAGTACACTGGTGAGCTGAAGACTCTTGAAATGGTATTCAAGCAAGCTCCCAGGGAACTACTTCATCTTTTATCTCCTTTGAATCCACAACCATCGCAGCTCAGATATCTTCAGTACATTTCTAGAAGAACTTTTGGTTCTGACTGGCCCCCACCAGATACGCCTCTGGCTTTGGATTGTATAATACTTAGAGTTCTTCCTCTGTTTGATGGTGGCAAAGGATGCCGACCAATAATTCGTGTCTATGGTCAGGATCCTTCTTCAAAAGCATCCAGTAGAACATCAAAACTTCTGTTTTCAACTTCCAAAAAGAGAAAACATACCCGCCTCTACAGACAGGTAATCTCATAATTTATAAATGTAGACTTAAACTGGAGAATCAACTGAATTGTGAAGTGTTCTTATGATCCCTGACTGCAGGAAGAATGCACACTAGTAAAAATAGATATTCAACACTGCGTCCAAGGAGATGTTGTCCTCGAGTGCATCCATTTGGATGAAGATTTGGTGAGGGAAGAAATGATGTTTAGAGTTATGTTCCACACAGCTTTTATCCGATCAAATGTTTTGATGCTGACCCGTGATGATGTTGATCTTTTGTGGGATGCGAAAGACCAGTTCCCAAAGGAATTCAGAGCAGAGGTTAGGTATTGTTTTCACTATGTTATAACGTTTATTTTGTCCAAAACTTCAGGAGTTAAAAACATTCTCTATTTTGGATCAGGTACTCTTTTCTGATGCAGAGTCTGTTCCATCTGTTATCACCAAGGAAGCAGTAGCAGTAAGTGATGATGATAATGAAACAGATGCTTCACCAGATGAGTTTTTTGAGGCAGAAGAGATCTTCAGCAGTGTAGTTGATGGGTCATATGGGAAGGGAGAATTTGATAATCGAACAACTGAAGCTACCATTCAGGATGATGAGAGCCTTGAAGTAGTTGGGACAGAGGTTTTGGATCATCATGCATTCCAAGACTGTACTTCAGATGAATCAAATAACAGACACAACAGCAAGGTTGATGCAAATAAAAATTTTCTGATTGCAACAGATGCTTTGGTCTATAGGAATGGTCAGTTAAATTCTAGAGCAGAGCTTGCTGATGTAGCCGGTGGTACAGATACCACAGATGTAGCTGGATCACCATGTGGAAAATCTGAGGAAGGGGAGAATAAACAAAGCCAAGAAGACGCTTCAATGGATAAAATGACAGAAAAGCAAGGTTTACAGCAAAAGTTGGGTGGTGACAGCAATACACGAAAGTCTGATAAGGAACTCTCGACATCCTCAAAGAAACAACCAGTTTGCACTTCCAAACCTGCGGCGGATGCTGTTGGTACTAAACAAAAATCAAAACCGCAAGAATCTCAGGGCACTCTTCCAAGGATGGCAAAGCCAAATGCAGTATCTAGGTGGATTCCTTCTAACAAAGGTTCATATACAAATTCTATGCATGTATCATATCCACCGTCTAGATATAACAGTGCTCCAGCTGCAATAGCTCTTTGCAAGGATTCCCAGCCTGGGGGGAAAGCAAAGGCCTCACCTGCTAGTTCTTCTGAAGCTAAAATTACGGCGGATGAAACTTCTGCAGTGGGCGAGGAACCATTAAAATATCAATCTTGTTCATCATCACTAGACTCGACACCAACTGAAAAAGCTTCTTCTCCAAGTTTGACTTCTTCTCTGGTGGAAAGTAGAGTACAGGAACTTGATGGCCCTCAACCAAGTCAACTAGTTCCACCAAATCCCCCTCCCCCTCCCCCTCCCCCTCCATTACTACCCTCATCTAGCTCTTCATCATATGAGTCTTCCTCAACAACCCAGCCAATTGTACAGGTAGGAGAGCAGAATTTGCTCAATCCTCACCTGAGGCCGCCCCCACCACCCTCGTTGCCACCGCCGCCGCCGCCGCCGCCGCCACCGCCACCACCACAGTCATCTACTAATTATGTAATTTTTTCTTATTCACGACCACCAGATTCAGACCCTCCACGATCTTATGGCAGAGCAGTTGCTACTAAATCACTACCACCACCTCCACCTCCTCCTTGTCCTATGTCTGTAAGCTCAGGACTGACCGCAAAGGGAAGTTTTCGCCCACCTCCTCCTCCTCCACCACCTCCTCTACCCCCATCTTCCATTTCTTCCAGGTCTCAAAATATCAGTAGAGTTTTGTCGCCTCCATCTCCCCCACCCCCTTGGTCGGTTGAGAGTTCTGGTCCTGAAGCTTCTGCAGCATCAAAATCTCCCCTTCCATTCTCCACACAAAGATCACTTGCTGTTGGAACACCCTCTCTGCCTCCACCTCTACCTCCGCCCCCGCCCCCGCTTCCCAAGCATGGTAATTCTTTTCCGTGTCCACCTCCTATCAATCATGGTGCTTCTGTGCCTTCACATTGCACTCCACCTCCTCCTCCTCCTCCACCGCCCACACCCCCATCTCATTCTCATGCTCCTCCTCTGCCTATTTTGCGCGCTGGAGCTCCACTGCCTCCACCCCCGCCTCCGATGGATGGAGTGCCACTTCCACCTTCCCCATTGCCTGGAGCACCACCTCCACCTCCTCCTATGCGTGGAGCGCCACCTCCACCTCCACCTCCACCTCCACCAACCCCCATGCTTGGAGCACCACCTCCACCTCCTCAGATGCGTGGAGCGACACCTCCCCCTCCTCAGATGCGTGGAACCCCACCTCCACCTCCTCCATTGCCTGGAGGTCCACCTCCCCAACGTGGAGCGCCACCACCACCTGCTCCCCCTATCCGTGGGGCCCCAGCTCCACCATCACCTCCTTCACTTGGTGGTCCACCTCCACCACCTCCGCCCATGCATGGAGCACCAGCTCCACCACCCCCTCCTGGAGGCCGTGTACTGGGTCCTGCACCACCGGGTCCTCCTAGACCTCCAGGTGTGGGACCTCCCCCACCTCCTCCATTAGGGGCTAAAGGATCTGTGGCAGATGGGAGAGGCTCAATTGCCGGTAGAGGGCGTGGGCTTTCTCGTCCTGGGATGTCAATTGCTTCAGCACCTCGAAGATCTACCTTAAAGCCACTACACTGGAGCAAGGTAACGAGGGTACTACAAGGAAGCTTGTGGGAAGAATTGCAGAGAAATGGAGAACCTCAAGTGTATGCCCTTTTGCTCTGCTGTTTTTGTTTGTCGATGTAGAATTACATGAGTAGCATTTCTTCATTCCTTTGGTGTAATTCAATCATATTTAGCAATATGATCGAGGTTGTTTATCCCTTTTCTGAAATGCTTTTATATGCGTATAACTTTGTATAGAAATTGATTTCTTGTTTTGTTATTGCCTCTTGATTCTTATATGTTGCTGACACTTTCAATTTTTTTCTAGTGCACCAGAATTTGATGTGTCAGAACTAGAGACTCTTTTCTCTGCCACAGTCCCCAAGTCAGATAGTTCTGGAGGCAAATCAGGAGGACGTCGAAAGTCTACTGGATCTAAACCTGACAAAGTTCATCTGGTAATATTTATGAATTGTATACTTGTTCTGGGAACTCTTTTCCTTTAAAAGAGATCATTTATTGAGAAATTATGCAGTTAATTATCTGCAAAGCATTATAACAACGAGAGTTTCTTGGAACTTTTGGGGCACATAGCCCATTCAACTAATCTGTGTGGCCAGAGTTGTGTTTTTTCTGTCTAACTGATTTGTGCTTATTCTTAATTTCCATCTTATAACCTGTGCCCAAAGTGGCGGCTCTAGAAAAAAGAAGGAAAAGGAAGATGTGTACTTTGCAAATTGTTAAATTCTTGTATTCTCAGTAAATCATGAAAGTAAGCGTCATTGATAAGTATTTTTGTGGATCATGACAGTATACATGCTCACAGAGCAGCTAAAGGCAGTGTTGCATCTTTTCTTTGGTGAAGATAAAAAATTAGTTTGGCTTTGTTTCCTTCAAAAGTAAAATGATCAACAGAAATATCTTTCATTTTTGTATTTACTGCAATTAATGGCTTTTCAATAGCAGACTTGATCACATATGAAATGGTGGTCTTACTGGCAGCTAAGCATCTGATTGACATCGACTTGCCCCTAGGTTATGATTAAATTGAACCATGAAATACTTTATAAATCGAAGGATCAAAACTGAGAAAGTGCAAGCTTTCTTGCTGATACTTAAACCGACAATGTAAATATTAGGTTCTTTGACCTTGTAATCATGGAGAGGACAATTTCTTTTGTTATCAGCTTACTGAGACCACTTCAAGCTTTATAATCACAAAGCAGATGCAGCGTTCAACTCAGTTATTTTAATTAACGAGAAGACAGTTCGATATTGTGCTGGTGAAGTACTGATAAGATCTATTCTTATTGTAGATTGACCTGAGAAGGGCTAATAACACGGAAATCATGCTCACAAAGGTGAAAATGCCACTTCCTGACATGATGGTAAGCTAGACATGGTGCATATTTCCAACCTTTTGTTTTGTTCTGATCTTTAAGCTAGATTGGTTTACCCTTGTATAAAGAAACCAAAAACAAGGGGCTCATTTTTTATTCACCTGTTATGGACAAATTAGTTATAATATAAATTATGTCTTTTGCACACAAACCATTTATGTGCACGGTTCAATTCTATATTTGCTGGAATAAGTGCTAAATAGATAATAGTATTGTGACCGAACTGATGAATCGTGTTTAGCTACATGACCAGAAAATGTCTCAACACACAAAAATAGTGCCTTTAGGCACATGAAGCATGCTCCGCTCATCTCCGATCATATTTAAAGATATATGGGTCTTGGCCATTCTAAAAATTATAAACTTGTTTCTTGTTTTACCACACTAATCCATATGCACTGTTTATTTCTCCTACAAACTTTGGTTCTACTTCAAAAATTCATGTTTGTTTCCAAGTCTACATTTAACATGTGTATATTTCACTTCCACAGGCTTTGGTTCTACTTCAAAAATTCATGTTTGTTTCCAAGTCTACATTTAACGTGTGTATAATTCACTTCCACAGGCTGCTGCACTTGCAATGGATGAATCAATTTTAGATGCTGATCAAGTAGAAAATCTTATAAAGTTCTGTCCTACTAAAGAAGAGATGGAACTTCTCAAGGTGAGTCTTCATTTTCTCAATCATTATGCAACCCATGATTTTTACTATTTAATCCACTCTCACTATTTTCTTTAGACGAAAAGAATTTCTTATTATTGATTTCTGTTTTGTGACTGTTTAGGGCTACACAGGCGACATGGACAATCTAGGGAAGTGTGAGCAGGTCTGTGGACTGAATCATCATTTAGTTGTTTTATTGCTGATATTTTTTCTTTTAAAGTATGCATTCTACATTTATATAAGCCAATAGGAATAAGTGATTTTTTTTTCGAGTACCAGTGATTTAATTTTCTCCAACACAAGAATTGGGTTCAGTCAGTGTTATAGAGTCGACCATAAATATAGGTTTTGGTATCAATCTCCATCTTTCTTCTCCTAAGGGACACAGTTGTCATTAAGAATAATAAGAGTCTTCCTTCTCCTGAAATTTTAGTTCAATGCGAGGAAAGCTGATTAGACATTGAGCATGAATATTGAACATGTCATACACATTGATCTACCGAAATGCAAATACATTAGCTGCCAGCATGTGAATAGTGTTAAGTTCAGGTGATTGCTTGCTAATATATTAGAAGACACTATCTTTTTCTTTTTGACGAGTGCAACTTTCGTTGCTTTAGATTCAAGATGTGTAAGTGAGTAAAGTATTGAAGGTTTGGATATCTTGAATTATTTAACTTAGTTTTAGTCTCAAATGGATTTGTTAGTTGAATATAGATGCCTCTTGCTGTTCATATTTAGTGTAAACAGGTTTGCATAGAGTATGACCAAATATATAATACCTATAAAATGAGCATACATAGTACATGCAAGATATTAATATGTGACTTTGCAAAGTTTCATTGAAAATGAGCAGATATTGACATTTCATTTAGTGGTTTCTGATCTTATGTGATCCTTTTGAAGACAATTGTGAGGACACGTGCATGTGTGTGGTTAAAGGGACGTAATAGTTGAGCAGAAATCATCATAATATTTTGAATCTGTAATAAGCTTATTTATGTGAAAGTTGGAATGCACTCGATCAAGATTATGAGCGAACTAAAAATTGTTTAAGCTGTTTAGAGGTTTCACTGAAGTAAAATGATTGGTTTTTAATTGCATCAATTTTATATTATTTCCTCTCATATTGAGCTATCGTTCAACCATTCTCATTAATACTTAACGAATTGTAATGTTCATATAAGAATTATTACATCTATTTCTATCTTTCAGTTCTTTTTGGAGCTGATGAAGGTACCACGGGTGGAGTCGAAATTAAGGGTTTTCTTATTCAAGATTCAATTCAATTCTCAGGTCTGCTATAAGTGTGAGGATTTTTTCGAACATGAATTTGATTCCTCATATTTCTAAATTTGGCTTTCATCTCAGGCTTCAGATTTTAAGAAAAGCTTGAACACTGTGAATTCTGCTTGTGAAGAGGTACATACAAATTCTAGTAAAATTTTAATTTATAGAAACTTTTTATCTTGATATAACCTATTTTGTCACTTATGAATTAGGTTCGGAAATCCCTCAAACTGAAAGAAATCATGAAGAAAATTTTGCTTCTTGGGAACACATTAAATCAGGGAACTGCAAGGGGTAAGGACATTAATTATTCATAAGCTTTCTTTAAGTTGAATTTTCAGACACTGCAAAAAACTGTGGTTAGTCTCTGGATTCAATACTTTCTTCCTTCCTTCCTTCCTTTCTATCTATATATTTATTTAGTTTTTCACTGTGCGATTCCTCAAAACTATCTTTTGCATCAGATATCAAGAACACTGATAAATGAAGAGTGTGTTGTAATTATACAATGAAGAGTCTGTATGCAGAAGGACAAGTTTTGAAGTATATGCATAAGCTGTTTTCACTACGAATATGTACTTGGTTGGGCTGTTGCACATTGTGTTTACTTTTAAAGAGTTGCAGAAAGAAGCCAAAATGAGTTACCACTGCATGATGTTATTCTTTCAATTTACTTCCATGCAGAAAAGAAGTGATACTTTCATGCCATGAAATAGATGAGCTTGTTAGTAATTATTGTTAATGTAGATGGAATAATCGTAATATCTGCATGACTAATGTCAAAACAAAATATCGAGTTGCAGTGCTTTAAACGAAATAATGGAGAAATATTAGAAACACCAGTGATGCTTTCACGCCATGAAATAGACGAGCTTGTTAGTAATTGTTGTTAATATGGTTGGAATTCTCATAATATCTGTTTGGATAATGTCTAAAGTAAATATTGAGTTGCGTTACTTTTAAACCAAAGAATGGAAAAATATTCTTATATTAGAAGCACCCACTCTTCCATTCTGACAGATAACAAGAGAAGATCTTGTCTTAGTAAAGGTGATCGTGTAGAAATAATAATCTGATTTTTATTTTTTTTTCATTTTATTGTAAACATTTATCCTCTGGGTATTACATGGTCTAATTCACTCTAGTGATGGTGAGTGCTTGGGAAGCCCCTCTTGAAAGTGAATTATTTAATTAGCAGTCGCCATTTAACATGGCAAGCACCCATTGCCCTGATTTTTTGGTCACTTGGAACAGCTTTCTCTTCTATTTTGCTTAATACATCTTACAGTAATTTATTTGAGACCCCTTGGTAAACTATAACTGGAACACATCCTTCATTCTCCAATTAAAATTTGTAATTTGATTTTGGTAGTGGACCTAGTGGCTGAAAGAAGTTTCAGATTTGTAATGTATCTAACTCCTACATTTTCCAACTTCCAGGTTCTGCTGTAGGGTTTAAGTTGGACAGTCTTTTAAAACTCGCTGATACACGTGCTTCAAACAGCAAGATGACTCTCATGCATTATCTTTGTCAGGTATTAATACAATCTCCCTTCTTTTTGTTGCTACTCGTCCAGATATCTCTATAGTTTACTGCAGCCAATAGTCATTTGTGCCCTCCATCTTACTTATTTGTCATCATTGAGTTTCTGATCAGTGTAACCATTTTGGAAGTAAAATTGATCTTAGTTTTTTGAATTTTATGGAATGGCGTCTAGTATTTAGTAAACGACATTTGAAAACAACCATTCGTATAGAGTAATTTTGAAATTACTATATATTATGAAATATAACGTTGCTCGACATAAATCAAAATTGACCAAAAAAGTCAACATTGAATAATATGGATGGAGTAATGTAATATGACATTAACAGAAATCTGATGAACTTCAAAATCCTTTCTCATCTTGTATGAATCCCACGAACTCGTTCAATCTTCCTCAAACATGCTGTGTTGATTTTTACCATTAAAATCGTTGTTTTAACTTGTCAAATATGTCCTGGTAAAATTACATTGTAAAGCTGGTCATTTGGGTTTTAATCACATCAAAAACATGATAGTTGGCAAAGCAAAAATTAGTTATTATATGCTTTTCGTGTGTTTTATAATTATGTATTGTTTTGTTTTGTACTTTGTACTAGTTACACATGTTTTAATGACTTGAAGCAATTATTAGAACAAATAGAAAGATATGCAATGTTGAACGTACTGATATTGATCAAAATGTCTCTATGAAAGCAGAATTGGAATTCTTGAAAGAAGAATAAAGTTGAAAAACTCGAAAATAAATATGCAGAGAATAATTTTATTATAATGAATTGGTTAATTGTAAATTATACAAAGCCTAAGGCAAAATAATTCTCTAATCTTATCAATATAAGGAAACTAAACTAAAATCCTAAAAGGAAAGAAAACTGAAATCCTAAAAGAAAACAAAATCCTACTCTAAGAGATCCAATCAAGAAAGAAAAAGAATCATATTGTAAACAAGAAAGAAGAAGAAAAAGAGAAAAACCCTATTACAACAAGAAATCTTATTTGGAATAGGATTGTCCTACGTCAGGTTGGATATTTTACTTGTCTAGTGATTGGTATCCTTCAATCAAGTTGTGCTACACTATGGGTTTGAATGAATATCCGAGTATTGTATTAAATCCCGTAGCTTAAAAAAGTTATCCAAGCCATTGTTTGGCAAAATTTATAAATTATTTTACAAGGTCAAACTTCATTGTCAATAACACATTCCAATTTCCAATAGACCCACAAGTACTATCCATTTATCCTTCATTTATTTCTATCTATTTATAAATTACTCCCTCTGTCCTATTTTATATATGCTGACTTTCCTTATTTTCTATTGAGAAACTATTTGTTTTGTCCGTTCACTAATATACCCTTATTTAATTTGCCTAGTTATAACCAATTTTTTCCACTTTGAAATTGTATAGATTTTAATTTACATACTTGTTGGAATCATCCAAATAAATACACAGTTCTTGAAGGGAGTAAAGTTTAAGTGGTTCATAGTATTTAATTTGCCTAGTTATCACTATTTTTTTTAAAATATTACTACTACTTGTTGATAATTTAAATAAGGGTAAATTAAGAAATTTCTTTGCAAAAATGGCTTTTTTTTAATGACATTAAATGAAATTTCTTAATTCATGTGATAAACAAAATCAGCCTATATAAATGGGATTGAGGGAGTAAACCGTTTATAAATTCTTCCCAAATGAAGGCTAAAATTTTAATTTGCACGACCCAGAAACGTTTTTACGAATATTATAAGAATATTGTAAATTTGTATCTATATGTAGAAGAATTATGGCAAATACGTTAATAAGGTTATGCTCTTTCGTACTTTATCAATAAAAGTTACTATCTAAGTTTATATCGAAGATATACAATAATTTTAGGATAATGCTGAAGCTATTCGCTAAAAGGACAAAATAAAAAAATGTTATATGCTCTCAGTAAAGCTGCTTACATGTCGACATATATTCTTTTATGATCAATCTTACATTATGATGCTTTTTCATCATTCCGCGTCTCTTGAACTTACAGTCGAGGCAGTCAGGTTCTCCCTGGTCAAGTTATCAAAAATCCTACTTTGGTTTCTTTTCACAAGAATTTAATGGGTTCTGCATTTGGAATAGACATTGGAATTGGATTCTAATTCTCAAGTTTTGAGTAAAGCATTTTATTGAAAGGGAATTGAGTAATGATTTCTTCAATTAAGGGGTTAAAAAAATAACACGAAATAGTTAATAGAACGGGTCCTGAAATGGAAATTGTGCGAAATAAATTTTTGGTGGGACTTCAATCTTGATGCCATATTTTTTTGTCTTTTTTTGAGTTTCTAAATATCACGAGTGAAGTTCCGTGAAATCTTTTGACATTCAAAATTAATACAAATATTCTTGTTCCAAAATTCTACACAGAAGCCGTTTCTTAGCACTTTCTTTAGCGCAGGATACCTCAATACCATATTTAGGTTCTTTTCTAATTTCTAGTCCATTTATTATTAAAAAAATTAGTCCTATTATTTGTTCCGTGTAACTTCATCTTGATCTCGTCTCACACCATCACTTCAAAGGTTTTACATGGTAAATTTATCTAAACCAAGTGAAATTATGATTTTTGGTTCTGTTAGTGAATCTTATGACAGGACTATTTCTTGATAAGTGCACCATGGAAATATTTAATTTTCGAGTGTAAAAGAGGGAGTGCTTATGTTGCTTGAATCATTATTCTTATTATCGGTATTTTGAGACAGAAATTTTTGAGTCTCATACAAGTAATTTGTCATGATGTGTATATACGAGGTTTTGGTTAGTAGAGAAGGATGTCAAACCACTTGATTTAAAAGCTTAAGTTGTTAGAGGGAAGCATACATATACATATCAATTAAAACTAATCATTAACACGCCCCATCACATGTAGGCGGGTTCATTTTTTTCCCATTAAAGCTGGACGTGCACAATTTCATTAAATGGGTGGTGATGAGACTTTAACCCTAATCTTTCACATGACCTTGATACGCGTTGAATTAATTGATCTAAAAGTTTTAAGATGTTGGCGTTGTATATGTGACTCATATAGAGTGGAACACAAGTCATTGGCCTTGTGTGTTTAATTCACTATTTGTTTGTCAGGGACGCCGAATAAGTTGGGGGTGCGCTCCCGTGGTATGGTACATGCGTATTTTCTTGTACGGGCCCTAAAGTCTTGTATGGATTTGGGCTTGGGCTTGTGCTAGGGTTAGTTTAAATGCTAATGATGTAAACCTATTATTCATACCGCATAAAATCTCCGCTTCGCTCCTTGTGAACGTATACACATTGTCGAACCACGTTAAATACTTGTTTTGATCTCTCTATTATTTTGCGCTTAAAAAAAAAAAAGTTGGGGTAACATGAATATTATTTAAATCTTGTCATGAATATTTTAAGAGGTGAATATTTATTTCCTCTTGGCATTTGTTTGCATACACTGGCACATAAATTAAGATTGCATGTTTAATAATGTGCGTCTTTTATTCCTTTAGCAGTTAAATAAAGCATTAGTTGTCTGAAAAGAAGAAGGGGGATGGACATTCATGACAAAGACCTGCCTTCATTATCATACTAATATGAATTGCTTCTTCCAAGTGCAAAGTTATCTCCTATATGTGTTTACCTTGTCTTTTCTGTAGGTGCCTTGAAGCATCATAATATTTAAGTCGGAATGGCTTGGGCATGCCTGCTATCTAGATATGGCACATAATGTGTACCTTGTTTTCATGGACTGATGGTCTAAATTTTTGTGCTCCTTTATGTGTTCCTAATGACTATAAAGTAAAATATGGTCATTGTTTTGTAATTCTGAGTGTGTGTCACTGTTTTTTTTCTTAGGTGCTTGCCTCAAAGTCATCGGCTATTTTGGACTTCCATAAAGATCTTGTTAGCCTGGAAGCTGCTTCAAAGGTTAGTACTTTATCTTCTTGTGAATGATGCTTTTGTTCACCATAACTAGAATTGGATAGTAATGGCTTGTTCTGCAGATACAATTGAAATCATTAGCAGAAGAAATGCAAGCCATTATCAAAGGATTGGAGAAAGTAAAGCAGGAATTGGCTGGTTCCGAGAATGATGGCCCTGTATCTGAAACTTTTCGCAAGGTATTATGATGTCCATTCCTTGTCTCTACTTCTTTTATTCTAATGATATATATGAGGTATAGCATCTTTATATTATGCCAGTGTGATTTCTTGACCAAACTAGGAGCATATCAAATTTGGAATAATACTATTTATCACCCGTCTATGTTGTCCAATGACTAAAAATGCATCCCAACTTTGTTGGACAATGTGGCAGTGACTATCTAACAGACTGGTGCTAAATAACATTACTCCAAGTTTTTACATGTTTGTGTTCCGTTTATTCACATTGTACAAAATTTTTAAGTGATTATCTTGAACATTACTTTTCCCCTCCCTTTTCTCATCCAAACACGATATTTTTAAGGCATTTTATTTGTAGTGTAAACACCTTCCATTTTTTCACCTCATTCACAGAAATTAAAGGAGTTCGTTGGTGCTGCTGAGACTGAGGTTGCATCAGTAAGAAACTTATATTCTGTTGCGGTAAATTTCAACACACCCTCTTCAGTATATTATATGGAACTCTAGGTTATTTTCCATGAAAACATTTTTTATTTCATTGTTGTGATTGGGCAGGGAAGAAATGCAGACGCATTGGCACTATATTTTGGTGAGGATCCTGCCCGCTGCCCATTTGAGCAAGGTAATTTTAATATTTTTTTTCCTTTCCTGTGAGATATTGACTATTCAGATTTCCCTTTTTAATATCTATAATTTTTGCAGTTGTTGCTACCCTCTTGAACTTCGTAAGGATGTTTTGCAAAGCTCATGAAGAGAACTGTAAACAGGCTGAACTAGAAAAGAAGAAAGCTCAAAAGGAAGCCGAAATGGAGATTGCAAAGGGAATTAATTTAACAAAGAAGGGTGTGAAATGAACCGTTTCAAATATTTCACAGGAAATTGTTGTTCAACATGGTGCGCCAATGTTGGGTCACTATTGATGCATGGACACCGTGTCAGTGACAGACTATGGGCCTCAAGATTTGACGTGAATTGTTCAGTTTTTATGGGAATATAAGAAACTGAAAGCACTAGCTTTCAAGATTTTTGCAAAACCCAAAGCTCAGTAAAGCGTACGATGAGAAATGGATATGACGCTTTTCTGCCAAGTGGACAATGCAGATTACTGATCTTTGTCGTGAGCTGACCCCCGGGTTTTCACAATCTCAGACTGATGCTTGGCCATGTGGAAGCCCTAGAAGTTCTCAAAGTTATATATGGAGGAACGTGTGAATTCAGAGGGATTTGTGCATGCATTGGATGAAGCCAAAGTTTTCCAAATGGGTGCCCGTTGTAACTGTAAAGTGAATTACCAAACTGTATTGTGAAGCCCGTACAGAGCTGTAACACTGTATTCAGATTAAAGGTTATTCTTTTTGTTGTAACATATAAATTAGAACCAACCATGTATAGAGGTCAGGATTAGAGATGATATAGAAGATTAACTGAGTCAGTGCATTAATTTTGTCATCAAAATATAGGGTTTAGGTTTAGACATTCTTGTTTGTTCTTTAGATTCTATTTTTGGGAAGCATTTGGATATTTTCATTAATGAAGGGGAAAATAATTTTGTCTTTCTTGTATGTTTGGCTGTGTACACTTATCTCATTCCTAGAATTTGATGTGCTATACAATAATCTTGTTGGATATATATTTTGATTTTCTTTAATACCACGTTAATCAGTTTGTCTAACAGCTTGTAAAGTGATTATATAAATATCGCCTTCAACATTTAATTCTATGCCTGCAAATGTCATTATACTAACAATTATGGGATAGTTGGCACATCAATTAGCAGACAATACATTTGCTTGTAAGTTGGACAAACGTCTAAATCTATTATCTCTGTAGCTTCTGAAGTACTTCAGTGGTTTTTGAAGAACCAACATATTTTTTTGAATTTATGTCAATGAATCAAGGGGAGAATCCTGTAACTAATTATTCATTCACCTCAGAAACTGAAAGAAACTTTCAAGGAAGCTCTTTTAGAGTGTTCAAACTTGCGAAGGACTTGCCATTTACATCTTCAATTGGTATTTGAACAGGGTGCCTATCATCTCGATCAATCTTGAAATTTGTTCTGCAACTCTTGAAGAATATGCATCCAACAATAGTATCGATTACAAGAAGAATGCCGTATAAGTATCCAATAAACATCCCCTCGAGAGCCATGGATGAATTGGGAGACAGTGCAAGACGATAAGCCCTTACAATTCTGTATTGAAACAAAGCTTCCATAGCAGCCAAGGCTATGTTGATTGACACGGCTAATGACAATGCTGTTGAAGATCGACCCTGGATCAGTACACAAGCCTTAAGAATCGCAAGATAGCCCCCACAATTCTCCATTCCTGACAACACCAATGCCAAGTTGCATATAACGTAGGCATTAGCAAGAATGATTGAATAAACAACAGCTCCCACCGATGAAACGAATAGCAAGGCTCCCAGAGAAGATATTCCTAATACATCGAAACAATTGAAAGCGAAAAGAAGAATAGAGAAGCAAGTAGCATTTGCTGAAAGGATGACTAATGAGCTACAAATTTGAGTTTGGAAAAGGGGCTTGTATAGTGAAATCCAAGAAGAAAATGGAGGTTCTTCTGCAGGTTTACGATTGCTCAAAGATTTGATTATGTACGCCTTAGCGAGTAGGAGAAAGGAAAGGGAGAATGGAAGAAGAAGAAAATATGTAACAATGGTTTGAGAGAGCTTAAGATTGAGAATTGCAAACAATTCTGACGAGGGAGGGAAACCAGCAGCTAGAAAAAGGGATCTAAAACGTCGTTGAATGACTGCAAGAATGACAGATGAGGGGAGGAAAGCTTGCGATAGTAGAGTCAAGGCAGCGAATGGGAATGCAAGGAGTGCTGCAGTTGAGGTGAAGTACTGATATTTCTGCAGAAAAGTGAAGATCGATCTTCTGATAATTCTGCCTGCTGTTTCCCTTATTGGAACGGATGATGAGTATTCGTCCATCGCGATATCAATGTTGGGACGACCGAGGTTCGTATAGATGGTTCGGAAATGGGATATATAAGATGTACTAATTGATAGTAGGTGTGTTTGGTTGGATTAAGGTAACTGACAGCACCAGCAGATGTATCTGCTTTGTTTTCACCAACAAGCTTTGTTTTGGACAATTCCTTTGTGATTGTAAGAAATCAGCAGCTTTTATATGTTCTAAAAGGTGCCCTCAAAAAAACAAAAACAAAAACCAAAAATGCGAAATGTCTAACATCATAAAGGTGAGACCTTGAAAACAAAGCAAATGAATATAACTTAGAATATACTCTTTGGTTCAATATTTTATTATCCAAACCACCAATAATAGAAACTGTATATATTTTTTTTATTGCGTTTTATTCCTTAATTTGAATCGAGAATGTCCATTTGTGTGGACAGAGAAAAATAGGTAAGACTAAATAAGTAAAGATGACAGAAAAATTGAACAAATTAAGAAAATATTAACTTTGCATAGGTGGAACATGAGGTGCTCGTGTTCACAATCTCTTTAGCATGTGTTCAAAATCAAGTGTCAAAAATGAATGAGTATTTAAATTGATTTATCCATGTTTGAACCAAATTAATTAAAATGAATTTAGACTTGCTTTCTCGATTCACATCCACGACCATGACCGATGGCTTCTATTTGACTTCAAATTTATTGAAAATAAGTTTGTTTATACATATGTTAGTTAATTTGGGTTACCTAAATGTAGGGACGGCTAAAAAACCAATTAAATCCGATACCTTTTGGTCATGTCCCTAATGAGACGAGAATTACCCAGCTAACCAGGTATATGAGATGGGGAAAGGGAAGGGGGTCATTGCCTTAAAACGGGTACGAGAAACATAGTCCCCGCACTGTTTAAAGTTAATTTTAAATTTAAGTTTATTATCAAACAAAAATAAAAGATTTATCATATTTTTAAAGATAACATGAGTTGTTCTTAACAAATTGAAACAAAGTAATATTTACTAATTAGAGACATAAAAAAATAAATGGGGCCGAGACAAAATAACCGACAGGATGAGAGTGGGAATGATCGGCCCGTCCCATATCCGCTTTGTTGTCATCCTTGTCTAAATTGGGTTGAACTCCCCGTCGGTGAAAAAAAAAAATATTTTTTAATTACAAGAATTAACATTTGAATATCTAAATAAATTACACTTGCTTAATTGTAACAAATTTTAACAATAAAATAGGACATAAAAAAAATATATTTTTAATTACAAGAATTAATATTTGAATATCTAAATAAATTACAGGACCTATGTTGTTCAACCATATCATGGCGTCTTCCAACTTGAACAGCTTGAGAACATAAAGAATAAGTAAAACATATGATGGACAAATAAGTTTTTTTTTTATGTTCTCTTTAAAGATTTTTTTGGATAAAATCAATAAATAAATATTTTTCTACTTTTTATCTCTTGTAAACACGCTTCATTTTGTCGATTATTTTGGTCAAGGTTTATACTCAAATCAATTTAACATTTGATTGACTTGCACAAGTGCTTCGAAACTTTCAAGTTGGAGATCAAAAATAAAGAACACCGAATATTATAATAATCAAATTAACAAATTTTCAATACAGACGATTATTAAATGTTGGTGGTGGTCGTTGCAGTGATGGCGGTCGGTGCGAAAGATTAACCTTATGATGGTTAATTGCATGACGGGTCAAAATTACATATAATTTTGAAAGTCTTAATGGTCAAATATTTTTTTCCCGTTGGGAGTTAACTATTTGAATTTAATATTTTCTTGTAAGTACATGATGCACCTTAGTGTATTCCAAGGCATCGAAAATTTGTTAATTGGACATTTTGTATTACTTTATTATAATTTGTTTTTTTTAAATGAATCAATATTATTATAATAAAAACTGTGGGATATCTTAATTATGTTTATAAGAATCTAGACTGAGATTATGAACCAAATTTAGATGTCTAATCAAGAATTAGTACATTTTATATACATAAGAGGGATTATCATATTAAGCTAATGATATATATCTAACCCACTCATACCAGAAAGAAATAATTAAATATAGTAGAGTAACAAGTTTAGGTTTTTAGCACTAATAAATAAATTAATAATTAATAGAGAAAATTTCAGCGGAGATCCCAAATATTTCATTTTGATACAGATTACAGCCTAACCTTTCATTTTTGTCTGTTTTGACCAGATATTTTATTACTAATAATTCATAAATTAAAGACTCAAAATATGTCTCTCTAAATTTCCTGCAGTTTCCCTAATTCTTTTTATCATCACGATGAAGTAATAAGGTAGAAGAAATTTAAATGTGAGCTTCCTAATAAAAAGGGGGTCGGCTTTGGGAAGAAATAAATAAAAGAAGAGATAACAAGATTATAGCTTTTTAGAGTCTAAATTTGCAATACCCTCGGACGACACTAAGTGTGAGCTTTTACACTGGAGGTTGTGGCAAATAAGGGCCGTTAGATAGTGGTGCACGCTGCCCCATCTAATTGACTGGTCTTTCTTGTCATAGACGTCAATCAATCTCAGCAATAAATGCGGCCTACCTTGCGGCCTCGGATTTGACCAAATAGGTTTGCAACAGCGGTGATGGCAATGACTTGTCTTGTCAATCACGTAATACAAGATCTGCTTAGGATCTTCTATCCTGGATCAACCTTTCCCAAGAGGTCTACATGGAATAAGGTCGGTCCAGCCTTGCTCTGCGAGGGAAAAGCGGGTCGTCCGTACTTGAGGGTCGGTTTAACTTCGCCTTGTGCAGGTGTTTAGGGAGTGAGATCGTCGAACCGTTTGTCACGTAGGATAATTGACACCATGCGTGGACCCTTGTATAGCGAGGCGTAACATCAGCCACTATGCACATCC